ATAGCAGTACAGGAAGGGATTGTGGTAATATGAATACACACATGTCTGCAGTTCCAAATGTGTTGGCAAGATGTGAGGTTTAGTTGATCCAGAGGGCAGCAGTTTCGGTTTGACACATTACTGGCAGCTGATATTTGTTGGTACCTAATTAATCTTGTTTCTTTCCAACTGTTGGGTTTGGGCTTTTTTTAGGTTCCCTTTTGCAAATTCAGGAGGTATCTACTTAGGCAAAATAAGACTGAGCTTTGTAGCAGGATAAGAATAAGATGCACAGTTTCTCTTCTCCAGAAGATCTTTTTGGAGATTACTCACTCTAAGCTCAGTCTCTGCATCTCCAAAATGAAATACATAGGAACCGCCCTCACTTTCCCTGTTCATTTTTTTTTGACACATTCTACTGGAAAGCCTAGAGATTAACTCTCCTGCTAGAGTCTGTGGGCAGAAAAGCCACAAGACAATACAAATAAGGTCTTACTAACCTGGCACTCTCTGGTATTTATTTTATTGGTTCTTTATACTAATCTTTTCTGCTTATATAAGCTCTCAAGCAGATAGAACTGGGACTCTAGCTCTCAATATTATTCCAATCATCATGGCAAAAGTTACTGAAGTGCAAGTGGGATTTGAGATTACAAAGAACCATGTTTTGGGAATGTTCAATTCAAATACCAATACAGCTGTAATTTGGCAAAACAGCATTAAGATGAATACTTTTTAAATACCTCAGCTTCTCATGCCTTTTGCAGGAATCACAACCATCTCTCTGTAAGGTAATAATGGATGCATGAAGGGCCAGTTTGATATTGGGATTGAAACCAATGATGATGATGTTGAGTTGTAGTCCTCCTTAGGCACAAAGCCAGCTGGGTGACTTTGGGCAAATCTGTCTCTCTGTGTGCTGAGAAGAAAGCAAAGAAGAACCATTTCTGATACATTTCACGAAGAAAACTAATTGGCTTCTCTGTGTACTTTCTGGGACTGACATTCCCCCCTCCCAAAAAATAAAATAAAATCACAAAAACCATTGAATTGATTGTTAAGATCGGTAATTAACCTCCCCTTAGGATCCGCAGGCATTTTCTCAGTGTTTCCTACAGTTCATTATTAAGTGTGCCTTGGGCTTCCTTTCTGGGTTTGTGAGAGCCATCTTACTCTCGCCCGGTGTGGATCTTTCTTGACCTGAAAGTGCTTCTCGGGGGGGTTGATTTGGCTGCTTACAAAGCTGTCACTGGATGGCTTGCAGGCAATTCCTCCCCTCTCCTTGGAATCGCCTTATAAGCCTAGGAATGCTGAACGCAGCCACTGCTGACGCCTGCAGCCCTTTGGCAAAGCAGAAGGTTTCCTTATGAGCTAGAACTAGCCCTCGGGGGCTGGAGAAGGGCACCACGAAGTCTCCCAGAGCTTAGGCACCTCCTCCCCGTGCAAACCCGCTCCTAAATTCTGTTTTTGTACCTCTGGAGCGCTACTCTCTTTCCCCCCCCCCCCAGTTTGGTTTGTCTGGGCCAGTCCTGTTTATATTCTCTGCTATTGGCTATTCCTCTGCAAAAGTGTTCTTCTCTAACCCACCTCGGGGGAATGAGCCGTGCTTTCCCCGCTAAGGACGGCTTTCTGCTGAAACAGCCCCAGCTATTCCCACTCCCTCCCTCTCTCCTTTTGGAAAAAGGTTTCTCTTGGCTCACAGCCAAGTCTTAACAAAGCCCCAGCCTAGACAGGGTAGAGCCGTTCTGTGGCGAGACCCCGGCTAGTGCCTCCCACACACATACCAGACAAGAATTGCAGCCCTTCTCCTTGGCCCTAGCTTGCCACAGCAGCCCATCCCTTTCGCAAGCGAGGTGGGCCCTTCCTTAGTGGTCAGGCCTTGGGAAAGCTTTCTTTCCTATGCTGTTGTGCTCGCTGCATTTGTGCAGCAAGCATCGCGGCTAAGAATAGTCCGCCTTCCTTCCTTCCCTCCTTCCCCTACTGCTTGGGCAAAAGCAGATGGCTACCACTGACCTGTGCTCTGGCAGAGCACAATTGTTGTTTTGGCAAGCTTCAGAGAGAATATGGTGCAAAGATTCATTGCTGATTCTGGCACTATTACATATTTCCACTAGAGTGGCCTCATTTTACTTTTGCCCTTCTAAAAATGATGTGTTCCTTTTTCAGTATATGCTTTCCTCTTCTTTGTTTAAAAAAAAAAAGTTAATTTCCTTTTCTGCTTAATAAATGCTGAGAAATTTTTGCAACTTCCAGAAGAAGATTGGTCAGATATGTCCTTTATGACGTATCAGGAATGAATAAGCTAGGATTTGTTTCTGTTAAAAATTAACAAGGCATTTGCGTGAAAAAAAGGTAAAGATGCCTTTCAGTCAAGCTGGATACTCTATGACTACATGGGACCAGGTTGAGGAAAGAGGCAATAGAGCTATGCAAAGGCTGGAGGTGAAAACTTCTTGCTTTCTAAAGAAACTGAATTGCAATTCTCAGCCAGTGTGATCTTAGTGAGGACTTCGGGAGTTGTAGTTGAGTAAAACCTTTGTTTCATAAAACTTGGAGAGATATGTGAGAACGTGATGGAATTTTGTGAGACTGAGGAAAAAATAACATGCTCCCTTGCCACTATTCTATCACTTTTGTCCCTCTCTTTCTCTTTTTTTAAACGGGACACTCTGTCATCCATGTGCAGAGGCCATGCTAATTGTCCCTATATCATTACAATTTCACTATATATGCTGCTGAAGCAAGCACACTAGGGCTTTACCTCTTGATTAGAGATGCTAGAAAAAAATTACCTTTAACCAACTCTGGGCCTAAAACAGTTTGAAAACCCTGATCTTGATGGCTGTAGTACCCCCCAACTATGATACGAGTAAAAACATAGGGCAGAGGACAATGTGAAACCTCTGGGCACAAAATGCAGAAACTTCTGGCATGGGAAAATAAAGAGTGGAATGCAAATAATTATTGCACTTGGCATCTCCCATTCAAATATTAATAAAAGATTTGTGAAATATTGAACATATCCTTAGTCACATGTGCAGGAATACCTGATTACCATATTTAGAGTTTTCAATAGACATGATCAGATACAAGTTTTTATAGTCTAAATCTAGAGAATAGCAGCTTTATTATTGTAAAATAAAACAGAATGGCAACCCAGTGCCAAAGAAGCCCTCCATCAAGGAACTGAATGACTACAGACCAGTTGCTCTAACATCGGTAGTTATGAAAATCTTTGAAAGGTTTGTGCTGTCCCACCTGAAAACCATCACGGATCCGCTGTTAGATCCCATGCAGTTTGCATACCGAGCAAATAGATTGACAGATGATGCTGTTAACATGGCTCTGCATTACATCCTACAACACCTTGAATCTCCAAATACCTACGCAAGGGTCCTCTTTGTAGACTTCAGTTCAGCATTCAATACCATCATTCCAGACTGTGATGACTGGTAGTCTCTCAAAATAACCCAAAACATATATTAAAGTCCGGTAAAGCCTTCAACTTAACTTCACTGTTTTATTAGGCACAGTTTAAAGTCACAAAAGTAAATAATGAGGCAAACAGAAAACCAAAACAAACCGCATTGATGAGAGTTCCGAAGCAAGCCAAGATAACTAATTATAAACTCCAGTAAAATAACCGAGAAAAGTCCACGGGAAGAATGCCAGCAAAGATAAGCCTCTTTCAAGGTAAACACTAATTGACTTCAGCAATTCTAACTGCGCAGTTGCAAACTTATATACATAGTTCCCACCTGAAAGCCACGAGGAGGATCATGGTAATCTCCTCTTGAGTAGACCTCGCTTTTCCCTGATCCTCTCCTCCCTGTGTGACCTAGGATGGATAGGGGATGGGCCTGGATCCTCCTGACTGCTCAGCTGGCCTCTGCCCTTCCCCAGCCTCCTCCAGCACCTCTGGAGCCACACTCCCACTCCCTGTTGGCTGTTCCTTCTCTTCCTCAGAGTCAGACTCCACCAGGGGCGTGACACAGACATTCTTCTAAGTAAATTAAACCAACTAGCGGTACCTCAACACACTTGTAAATGGATCATAAGCTTCCTAACAGACAGGAAGCAGCAGGTGAAGCTAGGCAGAATCACATCCGATACCTGTACAATCAGCACAGGGCCCCCCCAAGGCTGTGTGCTATCTCCACTTCTCTTCTCCCTATATACCAATGACTGCATCTCAAATGATCCATCTGTTAAAATACTGAAGTTTGCTGATGACACAACAGTGATTGGTCTCATTCGAGACAACGATGAATCTGCATATAGACAGGAGGTTACACAACTTGCCTCGTGGTGTAACCAGAACAATCTGGAACTGAACACACTCAAAACCGTAGAAATGGTGGTAGACTTTAGAAGAAACCCTCCCATACTACCACCTTTTACAATACTAGACAACACAGTATCAACAGTAGAGACCTTCAAATTTCTAGGTTCTACTATATCACATGACCTAAAATGGACACCTAACATCAAAAACATCATCAAAAAAGCACAACAAAGAATATTCTTTCTGTGCCAACTCAGAAAGCTCAAACTGCCCAAGGAGCTGCTGATTCAGTTCTACAGAGGAATTATTGAGTCCATCATCTGCACCTCTATAACTGTCTGGTTTGGTTCTGCAACCCAACAGGACAGACACAGACTTCAGAGGATAATTAGGACTGCAGAAAAAACAATTACTACCCACTTGCCTTCAATTGAGGACCTGTATACTGCACGAGTCAAAAAGAGAGCTGTGAAAATATTTACAGACCCCTCACATCCCGGACATAAACTGTTTCAAGTCCTTCCCTCAAAACGACGCTATAGAGCACTGCATACCAGAACAACTAGACACAAGAACAGTTTTTTCCCGGAAAGCCATCACTCTGCTAAACAAATAATTCCCTCAACACTGTTCAACTATTTACAAAGTCTGCATTACTATTACTGTTAATCTTCTCACCACTCCTCATCACCCATCCCCTCCCACTTGTGACTGTTTCCTAGTATGATTTGATTGTTGATTGTACTCTATGACTATCATTAAGTGTTGTGCGTTATGATTCTTAATGAATGTACCTTTTCTTTTATGTATACTGAGAGTATTTACACCAAGACAAATTCCTTGTGTGTCCAATCACACTTGGCCAATAAAGTATTCTGTTCTATTCTATTCTATTCTATTCTATTCTATTCTATTCTATAGACAGCAGGTGGGGAATATCTAAAACGCAAAGATGGCTATTCCAGGATATGGTTCGTATATTGTTCAGCTTGATTGATTAATGGATGTCATCCTTTTGATTTGGGAGAATATGAGTTTTAGCTTTCCTGAATCCTGAGCCGTGTTCTAATTCAGGACCCAAAATGTGAAGAGGAATTGATACTTTGCGGCTTCATACCACTTTTTATGATAGTTTTATTAGCTTTGTAACATCTTAGAAATAGATAACTTCTTTTTGTTTCTGGTTTGCTTTATTACAAATGCTAGCTTAGAGGACACAATGCTGTGCCTATGGGTCACAGGATATGGACATTTGGAAGAGGAATTAAAGATGGAAATGTAAGGAAAACTGTTCTATTACTAAGTATAGAAGCCCTCTTTTGGGACTGCTCTCTAAGGTTTCTGCAGTGCTTCTTAGGCAGAATGTCCTATTACAAACCAGATGTACATTTTGGGTTAGATACCTGTATCCTAACCAATGAAGTCTTTTTTTTCAGACTGAATAAATGTTCTAAATCAGTGTAACGTGAGGAAGGATTGTGCATAATTTTCACATGTTTTGTCCTTTGCACTCTGAAGAATGATCCTTGAAGATCAGAAGGTTGGTTCAAGTTTAATATGGGAATAATTATCTTTCAAATAATCCACATCCAGTTCTTAATAATAGGAAGACAGTCAATTACTACTGTCTGAAAATAAAGTGACTTCCCGGACGACTGCTTTCCCCTTTGGAGTTGTATTTTTAAGGAATTCTTGGCCCAGATTGATTGACATGGATTTCTAGAGCCCATCTGTTCTGACATGGCTTTGTGGAAGAGCAGAGCTTGACTAGCACATTCTGCTTGGGGAGCTTTCTTCCCCTTGGTTCTCTGTTCCCCCTGCCCTGTCCATTAACCACTAGCTTGCATAGCTAGTGGTTAATGGCAGGGGGATGATAAAGAGTAGCTTAATTAAGGCCACATTAGTGAAGGCAGTATAGCTGATATCTTGAATGGAAATGCAGCCAAAAGCAGAAGCAGCTCTCTAGCATTTTAGTGAGTGATTCTGCAAAGATGAATGTAGGTCTTTCTTGGAAGAGACAGATACATTCTTTAGCATCTCCACCCAACTCTGCTATGTGTGTGGGCTTCTTTCCCGCAAATATTGGCATAAGTATCTAGTAGAGAAAGAAGCGAGAGATGGTGGGAGATGCTATTGGAGCAGGCATTCTGTTTCAGATATTATGAGTGGATTTGTATTATGTGTAGGCCACTTCGGCTAACTTTTTGTACAGGTTCCCAAGTATGGGCCAGTTCGACTGAAATTAAGTCGTAAATTATATCTTAGCTAAAGTCATCCTTTCTACATGAATTACCTACCTGGTGTGTGAACTAGAACCGGGTGGTCTGTCCTCTGAACTTGTTCTTTATTTCTAACTCAGACAAAGACGTGCATCTTAGTCAGGCCCAAGTCTGGCTCTAGATAGGAGTGAGGAGGAATACACAATGAATTTTTAAAAAACCTTTCCTGCTTTAATACACAAGGTTTCTTCTGTGTTTCTGTAACATTTAGACAACTGTAGCCTATTTTGTAAACCTCTTGACCTGTCAAAAGTCTACAAGAGAATAGTACTGCTTTGATGTTCATTTAGCTTTGATTTATAAGCAAACTACAAACTACTCAGAGCATGGTATCTTTTTTTTTTTAATTATTATTAACCTTCTAAGCTGCCTAAAGTTGCCGAGGTAACTTTAGGCAGCTTACAGTCATATAATTAAAATACGATATAAAACCTTAAAACAATAAATAAACATACCTTTAAAATTCAATTACATCTCGCCTGAAAACTACAAATTAATATATCGGGATGCTGCCTCTGACCAGTTTCATACTGATATATGTGGATGTATGAAGCAACACCTTAGAAATATAGGCTAGTTTTATTTCTTATTCTATCTCAAAGTACCTTTAGAGGCCTATAATTACATGATAGTTTAAGTTTGGGCTTGCTCATTGCTCCCTTCCTATTTAAAAACTGGGTTCCATGTACTGAGAATCAAATGGCTCCATTACCTATAGGTCATCTAATGTCTATCTGGATGTTATAACAAGGTCAGCTGATCTTGATTGCCAGATCAGATGCATCCCATGAATGCTGTCCTTAACTATCCAGGAAGAAGTAGAGAAACCTACAAAAGTTATAGGACTTGCTATAGAGCCTTCTATAAATACAGAACAGATGCATTCATTCATTCATTCATTTGGGGGGGAAATAGCCAAAAGTCTGTTAAAAAGAATGAAAAGAAAAGAAAAGGCATGACTGATGTATATATAGAGAAGGAGCTTGATATCTATGTTCTTCATCAGGTAGATCTTCTGCATAGATATGACGTTTTTTAGTCTGACGTAAACAGTTAATTTACCTGTATCAAGTTATTTCTGCTGTTACCTAGTCCTGAGCAAGAGGCTGAGTTTCTTTTTTGGAAAAATAGAGAAAATATGTGATTTTAGGAATTAGAACTCATCATCAGAATAAAGCTGGAAG